AAATGCCAAAAGAAAACAAACTCCTAACAGCTTGTAGACTCTGAAAATAAAATTTGAATAAAGACAAGTACAAATATGAAACATGAACATACATAAGCTCATGAATAAGTTAGATAACTGGTATTAGACATTTTTTTTTTTACCTAACCATTAACATATTGGTTTCGTTTCTACTCTAACAACTTGTCCTTCTTTTCTAGGATTGGCGTAGGTGGGTTTGAAACATCTACAGACTTCAAGTCTTAAATATCTAGACCAGTTAAAACATTTTGGCAGTTAATATTGTATAGTTACATTGCAGCACATTTATTAGGAGCTATGGCCTAATTGAATTTTTTTCTTTTTGTCTGTATGTGACCTACTTCTTTTATCAACCACAAGATATTGAGAATCCCTTCAAAGCTGAACTCTCCATGGGTTATTTTAGAACACTAGTCATTGATTTCATTTATCTGGACCACAAATTTTAATTTTCTGGCCTGGAGTTTGGTTTTGGCTGGGCACATTTCCCAGGAAATAATGAGTATTTGCTTAAACATGAAGCATCTGTGATTTTTCTTTTGCGATTCACTTATAGGAGAACCCTGTTATTAATAGCCCGGGGCAAAGGTTCTATGAAAGAGACAGAATGCGTGGCTTTTCCTTTTTCACTTCCTGAGAAATGACAGATGGTATAACATAAACACTCAGTCTCTTGAAAGATGTAATATGAAAAGGCTTTCATTAAAAGTAAAGAGTAGACACAGTGCACATAAGGATAATCGACTTTGGATATAATCATCCTAACAAGTAATGAAACAAGCTCACACTTCATCTCTGTCAATAATACGGGTGTCAAACACCTTTTCAAGTTAAATGCTGTATTGTAAATATTTTAAATTTTTCTTTATATATATTATGATGTTTTTGACATCTTAAAAAGCCTTTCTGGCTGCAGAGAACCTGCCTCTCGTGGGGCTTGTTAATTATGAAAGATAACAAAGCGCCCCAGCCTGGGGCATGCCTTTCACATACAGATTAACCAGTCCAGTGCCATACCTCCTCCATCTGATCTGTACACCTCAGGAGGGGATATTCCTCTGCCTTAATAATCCAGGACCAGGAGCCAGGCAACCCACATAAATTATTCAAACTAACCAATTCTAAACTGTTCACCTGCCTTGCCTTGCCTTTCCCAAGAAACTCCCCAAAAAGGCGGTGGCCTAAACCTTCCCTTCCTCCTGTCTTCTGCCACCTGACCACCCTAGTGTCTTTCTTGAGTGGCCCTACGGGGCCTGCTGTGCCTCCTGTCTCTAGGACCTGTGAGTGTAACACACTTTTTTCTTTCTGAGCTTCTCCTCTGTCTCCTCTTGTGACCACATCTGATTGACCATACCAAAAAAAGAATACAAAAGAGTCTCTGTGTAAAGTCATGATTTCTATAGAATCATAATGCTTCTCACCAGTCTTGAGCTTGGGTCTCATTTCCAACTCTTTCTATAAATGGACAGTTTCCTCCCCACCTACTTATTCTCAAAAAGACACATGGCAAACTGATGATGGCATATCTCTGGGGTGAGGGAAGAAAGGGCTAGAACTGATTTTCAAAGGGAATTTTAGCTTTACCCGTCAACAATCAAATTTTAGCATTACCTGTCAACAATCTAACTTTTGTAAGATAGATGAGACAAATATTCATAATTATGTTAAAATTTACATTTAATTCAAAACCCTAGGTGTTGCTTCTGCTCTAGGTTATCTATTTCCTGGGCCCTAATATTATGGTGATTTCTATTTTTCCCAAGTGTTTTCCAGTGTTTCCTATGTTACTACACACAAGTGTATCCTTAAAATCCTACCCTCCTCTTCTGCTCCTATTATGAGGTAATATTTTAGTTTATTTCCTTTGGGTCAAGAGTATGTATGAAGACACAAATATTTACTTATATACAATTTGAACCTTGCTCCAGTAAAGAAATATGTTGAACTTATTTGTTTTTAACTTCTAAGACTGCCCCAGCCTATACAATACTAATTCCATTTCTACATTTTACAATTTAGAGCCAATAAAACACTTTTATTTTCCATCTCAATCCCCAAAATAGTTCACTAAGGTAAGCAGAATCTACCTCCCAACCTCCATGCCAGGCTTCCTTGCTGCTTTCACTTCTTTTTCTTATAATATGGTAAACTACTTTTTCCTGATAAGCCACTACCTATAATAGAATTATCTTTGTCACTTTCAATGTCTTATTTCCCTCTTTCCTCATTATTTACAATCTAGGCGGAAATGGATATCTGCAAGAGAAAATAATAATAGAAAATAGGCCTCCATTATAAGATGGCATTAACTCCTGGGCTCAAGCAATCCTCCTGCCTCAGCCTCCTGAGTAACTAGGACAACAGGTACACGCCAACATGTCCAGCTATTTTTTTTTCCACTATGTTGATCAGGCTGGTCTTGAACTCTGATCCTCAAACAATCCTCTCATTTCAGCCTCCCAAAGTGCTAAGGTTATAGGCATGAGCCACTGCACTTGGCCAGATAATACTTTTGAATTTTAAAAAATTAAAATGAGCTGAACATGGTGGCTCATTCCTGTAATCCCAGCATTTTGGGAGGCCGAGGCTAGAAGATCACTTGAGGCCTGGAGTTCAAGACCAGCCTGGCCAACACAGCAAAACTCCGTCTCTNAAAGAAAGAAAGAAAGAAAAAGAAAAAAAAGCTGGGCATAGTGGAATCCCAGCTACTCAGGAGGCTGAGGCATGAGAATCAGTTGAACCCAGGAGGCGAAGGTTGCAATGAGCCAAGATCTGTCTCAAAAACAAAAAAATTAAAATGAAGATTTAAAAATAAAAGCAATAATGGTTAAATATTTCAATGAATACAACAGTATTGATTCATGTATATTAATTTTTTACAGGAAAATTCTATGATTTTTAGGCCATTGGATACCTGGATTCTTATTCCTGAGCCACTAAAAACTAGATGTGGAATCTTGGGGAAGTATAAGTCTCTGAATCCTAGTAAGATGAAAACGTTAATAAATGAACACTAAAAATCTATGGATTTAATCACATATATGCTTCAATGAATATATTACCATACTTCGCCAATCTCATTTTTATGATTTCAACAGTTGTTAAAAGGAGTTAGTTGTGTAGTAGTTCTTTGCCTATTTCTGGGGCAGGGGTGACCCCAAATATAAAGGCCATGGAAAACAAGACAGATAATTCAAAATATCACCCTTTTCCTATGTTTCCACAGTGGCTTTCAATACACACAACCACACAACACAATATTTCTTAAGATGCTATAATTTTTTGTTTGTATTTCTGGGTTCCTTCCTTCTTTCCTTCTCCCCTTCCTTTCCCTGCCTCCTTCCTTCCCTTCCTCCCTTTCCCTCCCTCCCTCTCTCTCTCTCTCTCTCTCTCTCTCTCTTTCTGATGGAGTTTCACCCCAGGTTGGAGTGTAATGGCATGATCTTGTTTCGCTGCAACCTCTGCCTCCCAGGTGCAAGCTAGTCTCCTGCCTCAGCCTCTTGAGTAGCTGGGATTACAGGTTCCTGCCACCTTGCTTGGTTAATTTTTGTATTTTTAGTAGAGACAGGTTTTCACCATGTTGGTCAGGCTGGTCCCAAACTCCTGACCTCAGGTGCTTCACCTGCCTCGGCCTCCCAAAGTGCTGGGATTACAGGCATGAACAAGTGCACCTGGCCACATGTCTGTTTTCCTGTAGTTTCTGAATTTCTGAGCCCCTGGGATGGGTATAAGGGCAGGAAATGCATCTCCCTGATGCCATGCACTGGCTTCACTATATAGTAGGTGATTAATCATTCACTGAAGAGATCAACTGAAATAAAGGGCATTTGCGTAAAAATATTCTCTTTGTTTTTGTTTTTTGAGATGGAGTCTCACTCTGTCACCCAGGCTGGAGTGCAGTGGTGCACTCTCGCCTCACTGCAATCTCTGCCTCCGAGGTTCTAGCGATTCTCCTGCCTCAGCTTCCTGAGGAGCTAGGATTACAGGTGTGTGCCACCACGCCCAGCTAATTTTTGTATTTTTTTTTTTTAGTAGAGATGGAGTTTCACCATGTTGGCCAGGCTGGTCTTGAAAGCCTGACTTCAAGTGATCTACTCACCTCAGCCTCCCAAAGTGCTGGGATTATAGGCGTTGTGCCACCATGCCTGGCCTGTGTAAAAATATTCTGATCTAAGAGAAAAGGATGACTAATCTTGTGATTGATAACTTGAACTCTTATCTTTTTTCTTTATAATTTAGATTAGAATTTTAATTGATCTGTGACATTCATTAATCACAACAATTTTAGGAAATCTTGTTAATTTTTATAAACTTTATTGGCTTTCAGGTTGTTGCCAAATTAATTAGACCATCAAGAAAAAAAGAGCAGGTGTTATGGTAGCATGGGTCAAAAGCTTTTGTTCTTTCTGACTGTGATGTCTTCAGCCCATTCTGGGAGATGAGGTGGGAAGATGTGAGGAGCTCAACATCTTCATAGTCCAACTGCAGACTGGAGAACTCTTGCAGAAAAATCTCACCTGAAGTCCTTGTCTTAGTGAGGCTAGGCCAGGCCATGAATGAGAACTAGCGACCATCCCATTCTCACTGTTGTCTTATATGCCCTCTGAATTAAACATACAGTCTCCAGCCAAGGAAAAGCAAAGAAAAGTGACAAAGGGCTCATGGATTTAATTCCAACTCTAAACTACGGTGTTTCCTTGTCCTCTCCCCGTTGAGTCTTTCTACTGCCCAGTGGGTCTATGAGTAGCCACTGGCTCAAAGGCATTCTAACAGCAGTGCCCTAAAACCAACCCTTGAACCTCTCATAGAAAACAAGAAGTGATTACAGTATAATTTATATATGCCTTCTTCCTAGAGACTCAAAACAAATTTTAAGCATTTATAAATAAAGATATTAAGAAATTTTAAAAATGAGATTGCTAAACAAAAATAGATTTCAAATAACAATGAAAGTAGAATATAATTATGAAAGAGCATACCGCAGTACCCTGGGGTTCCACATACTGTCTTCATGAGCACTTGATGTTCCACAATTTTAGAGAGTCCAAAATCAGCTAACAACACAAGAAAAACATTTAATGAAGCACGTCTCTTCTCAGTTTATATTAGATGACAGAATATTTCTGTTATTCAAAAATAGAACTAACTTATTTATTTGTTTGCTTTTGTATTTCATGGTGGGGTGAAGGTGGGTGGGAACAAGTCACCCAAGAAGAAGCTAAATAAATTAATTCAAGTGTCTCTTTAAATGGGAGAAAAGTATGACTTCCAAATTCATTTACAAATAAATCTGTATTTAATCTTTGTTCTTCTGTATATTCCCAGGTTTCAGCAAATAAGCTATTTTTTCTTAAAGTAATAGTTGTAAACAGTAATATTTTGCCTAATGTTATTAATTCTGAAATTTATGTAACAGTAACTCTAAGGGGCAATACAGATTTAGCAATATAATACAGAATCTTTATCAACAGAGAGGAGAAAAAATAGACTTTCATCAGTGTTACAAGAATTACAGAAATATCAAAAGGTTTATTCGGCTTGAAAATAAATGCCATTCCCTAATGTATTTCACTTATAACAATTTACTCTCACATGAAGACTATACGACATTTTTGGTAAAAATCCTTTTTATTTATTTCTCAGAATATCACCTAGGTAAAATATTACCGAAAGTTGCTACCATTACAATTTGCTGAGCTACATCTCTGGCACTCGGGAAACATCAGGAAACCATTCAAGGCCATTCTTCAAGAGAGGCAGGTGCAGAATGAATTCCATTTTAGACTTCAAAGATAAACCCACATTTCCTGGCAGGTGCCTGATCCTTATCAGTGAAAGCAGCAGGAAGCCCTTCAGAAAGAAAACCTCTCCTGCCTAAATTAGTATCTATCCATCCATTTAAAGAAATTGCTTTAAGGATTAAATCTTTGAAAGCGATGTTAAAGGAAATGGAAACTGCCTGCTGTCCACTGCCTTCAGGAGTGATTATGAGAAAAAGCTGGCTGCCCAACAGGACTTTCAGGATTTTTTCCTTAGGTTCTTGCATTCATAAAGCACATTATGTTGTCTGAGCTCTTCCCTGATATGAACAACTTAGTTGTTAAAGGTGTTAACATCTGTAAATGCAGGGCACTAGGTAGATTAGCATAAGGACAGCAGCAGAAGAGTAATACCCTTCAGAGGATTTCATGCAGATTGCACCATCAAAAATTTTCATCAAAAATTAAGTTGAAAATACTTTTTGACATGAAGATTTGCTTTGGATGAGACATGGAAAGTAACAATTATTATTATTATTTTTTTCTAAAGTGCTAAAGGTTTCTTTGATTAGATCAGAATTTCCCAAAGTTCATCTTTGTAGTTTTTCAAAATGCGTATTCGTTAAAAAAAAAAACAAAAAACTTATGGAATATGATATGTTAGTTTACATGTTAACAGTTTTAAGGTTCTGGAAAGTCCTATAGAAATAAAAGTCTTGTTTAACTTTTTTAAAGTTGGCATTTCCTAACTTATTTGCTCAGTCATAGCATTTCTGTGAATTGCTCCCACCCTTATTCATCCTGCTAAGAAACCACTGTTCTGTGGAGTGCATTTTGGGAAAGGCAGATCTTAATTTATCTTTGTTCATATAAACAAGTGATTCAAAGCCTAGCCTCACTAATATGCACTAAACATTTTACGTCAAAGTTCTTTGTTACCTAAAATTAAGCTCCAAGCAATCTGTGGAATAAAAGTTAGTATCTCCAGAAAAGGTTAGGTTTTCTATCATTTTGTTCACTATAAACTTATTTACAAAATGCTAGGTCATCTCCTGAGGTCCTTGTCATTTCTAAGCTGATTCCTTTTTGTGCCCAGCAACAGAACACTAACTTCTAGGCAATAACTTCTAGGCAATAATTTTCAGATAAACATTCTAGGAAAGAGCACAAACTTCCCAAACACATTATTCCTTTACAGGTATCAAATATTCAGGAAAACTGAATGGTTGTAAAACTACATGGGGCAATATTTAAAAATTCCACACAGTAACATTTTTCTGCTCTGGGAAAAGGGGGTCACAAAACACAAATAAATGTTCTTACCAATTTTGAGTGGAGCATCTGGGGCTGGAGTTGCGTAGAGAAGATTCTCTGGTTTGAGATCACGATGGACAATCCCATTTTCATGTAGATACTAAAGAGGGAAAATAATGAAATAGCATTTGTATAATTCTATTTACGGTTCGAACGTCTACACTTAATATTTTAAGAACTATAAGTTATGTGGTTCAAGAACACACATATTATGACTTAAAAATAAATACCATAGCCTGGCACGGTGGCTCACACCTGTAATCCCAGCACTTTGGGAGGCCGAGGCAGGTGGATCACGAGGTCAGGAGTTCGAGACCGGCCTGACCAACACGGTGAAACACCGTCTCTACTAAAAATACAAAAATTAGCTGGGTGTGGTGGCGTATGCCTGTAATCCCAGCTATTCGAGAGCCTGAGGCAGGAGAATCGCTTGAATCAGGGAGGTGGAGGTTGCAGTAAGCTGAGATTGCACCACTGCAAGACTCCATCTCAAATAAATAAATAAATACCATAAAGGAAATCTGTTTTAAACTGTATACATTAAATAATACCTTATAAATAGTTACCTAAATGTGATGCAATTTAAATTGTATAGAATCTGTTCCCAGAATGAAATATTTATTCCTCAGCTAATATTAGTTACAGTTCTCTTTATGCATATTAGTGTGTCAACTGGAATTGGCTAATTATTGTGACAAAGTCAAGGTGCTGTGTATTGAAATTTATCTGGCTTATTACCTATAAAGCATGATTGGATGTATGATTTCATAAACTCATATAGCGAAGGTTTCATAATTATTGCCTGAACAGACATTTAGATGTGAGTAGTTCTTATAGACAACTATCCTTAATAAGACAAATACTGTTTGACAATGAAGGATGTACTCAAAGGATCTTCTGAGAATTAGTAAATCTAACTTTCAATACAGATGTTGAAAGTTGTATTTGAGATGAATTTTTAAGATCACATCTAGCAACTCCATTCATTATACTGTATTTTAAATTATTTTGTAAAATTGTGTGTAAACAACATATTCTCATAGTAAATGCTGAAGTCCTACCTGACTTCCTTTCCCCCAGTTCCAGTCCCCTCTTCAAAAGTAATCACTCATCAGTTTAAAACGTCTTTTTCCCCAAAAGTTTGTTTGAACATTTTTCTATGCATTTACAAACGAGTATATGTACACTGGGCTAGATTCACTAATAAAAGCATAGAATGCTTTTTCTATGCATTAGTGAATCTAGGCTCGGAGTCACTTGTTTATATGAACATATTTATTTACAGATGTTAAATACTCAGGACATCTGTATTTGTATTACATTAGTTCATGCCTGTAATACCAGCACTTTGGTAGGCTGAGGTGGACGAATTATTTGAGTCCAGGAGTTAGAAACCAGTCTGGGCAACATATCAAGAACCCACCTCTATGAAAAATTTTAAAAAGCCAGCAATGTTGGTACATGCCTTGTAGTTCTAGTTACTCTGGAGGCTGAGGTGGGAAGTAACTGGAGCCCAGGAGGTCAGGGCTTCAGTGAACCATGATCATGCCACTGCACCCCAGCCTGGGTAACAGAGCAAGGTCTTGTCTCATAGGAAAACAAAAACAAAAAACCAAACCAAAACAAAAGAATAAACACACACACACACACACACACACACACACGCGGTAATATCCCTGGTTTCCTCCATTTTCCTACTTAAATATATCATAATATAATTTTTATGTGGCTTTTTTTCTGCTTAACAAAATATCTTTGAAGGCCTACCCTCATATTACTTTAGTGTATTTTATTTAATTCTTGCATCTTATATCGTAATTAATTTACTTATTCATTTTTTAATTGACATTCAAGTTGTTTTCAATTTTTAAGAAGTTACAAGTAATACAATTTAAACATTCTAGCACTTGAATATTTTTCTAGGACAGATACCTGAAAGCAGGTCCAGTTGTGAAGCCAAAAAACATACAACGTTTTTATTTTAATACATATTTCAAAATCACTCTCCCAAAAGACTCCATCAATTTTCACTCACACAAACAATGAATGCATATATGTTAATATCTTTGCTAAATCTATATTTTTAACTTTTGCTGAGCTGGAGTGCAAAGGTTGTATCTTAAATTTGGTTTAATTTATCTTTCTCTGTTTACTAGTATAGTTGAGCTTCTCTTCATATGCTTCTTGGTCAATCAGTTTTCCTCTTCCATAAATTTCCTGTTCATAACATTTGCCATGTTTCTGCTGGTTTAAGAGGAAGTTTCCAGTACGCTGTTCTCTCTCCTTTCCTACCTCATGCCAGAAGGCAAGGAGTCCTTTATACTTAAGTCAAGTAAGGGGGTTTGGGGAGGTACAGCTTCAAGATCACTTAGTGATTTGGGGAAACAGATAACTGGCTCATGCATGAAAATGGAAAGAAGAGCAGATAGTTGGAGCAGGTGAATGTGGAGAGGGCCTCAGGGAGATTCAGCTACTCTCAAATAATAGCTGGATGTACATTTCTCATGGGCCCAGTGTGGACTCTACAAGAAGGAATAAGATATGAGTCTCCATGAAGAGCCTCTTCATGGGAGTGTTTCCTGACAGGGGATGCCACCTTAGCATCACAAAAAGCAGAGCATGAGGGTAGTGACAGTGGCATCTGAGGCTCTTACCTGTTTTAAACACTTACTATATTCTAAGCTCTATTTTAAATACCTTATATCTGTTGACTCATTTAATCTTCACAACAGCTCTATCCAGTAAGTCATCTAATATTTGTTTCTAAATGAGGACACTGAGGCAACAAGAGGCTAAGAAATCTGTACAGTATCACAACTAGATACTAGAGTTGGGATTCAGACTCAGATATTTGGCTGTAGAGCATATACCCTTGCCTATTACGTAATTCCCAAGGAGATGCTCAATGAACATTTGTTACTTGACTGATTAGGGGAAGGGGACAAAATAAAAATAACAATGAAGGAAAAGAGGGGAGGATACTGGAAAGGAAAGGTAATGAAAGTATGAAGAGAAACAAGAGAATGATAGAGGACCATGCTCTACCATGAATGATACCTAGGGAAAACATGCGTCATCCCCAAGAAGGAAGAGACTATCTTGATGTAAGTTGAGTTTGAAGGAGGAAATAGATAGAATATCTCATACAGTAGCCTTGGAACATATCTAAGAATTGCATAATTTGGGAACAATACAACATATTGATTTCCCCCCCCCCCAATCTTACCCAATTTAGAAACTTTATTGTGCTGAGAAGAAAAAGACACTAGACATAGGAACACAGTAACAATGACAAATAAAATGATTTGGTAAGTTTTGTTTAGCAAAGAACAAATTACATGAAGATCCTCACTAAATGTTGTTCTGGCTGTCTTGAAAGGAAAAGGTGGTTGTTGTGTTCTAAGTACAAGTTAAACAACAACAACAACAAACAACAAAAAAGAAAACATCATTTAGCACTCCATAAAGGAGAACTAGACTGGATAAAAGAAGGAACGTTTGGAGAAAAGTACTAGAACGAGGCTCTATGCACTACCAATGGAACAAGTTTTAAAACAAAACAAAGCAATTCAATGCTAAACGTCATGATCTTGGCTTTTAAAAAGACATGCAGAGATAATTTGCTATACATACTTGGTGTAGAAAGATTATCAAAAGTCATGATATATCCATATATAGAGAGAGAGAGTAGGGGGAGACATTTAAATATATGTGACTGAAAAAATGTCAGGAGTCACTATTTCATTTTTGTTTAGATTCCCTGATAAACTTTGACCAATAGAATTTCTAACCTTTACCTCAAGTTAGGAAGATAGGAAGAAGGAAAATGTGAAGTATGATTTTGCTTTCTCGCCCCCCAAAAAAGACAAACATTAGAAGATCAACACTCTTTTAGAGTATATGTTCTCAAACTTTTCCATCTCGGTAACGATTTACATTCAAAAAATATTGGGAACCCCAAAGAATTTTTGTTTATGTGAGTTATATCAAGCATGATTTACAATAATAGTTAAAATGTAAATTAATTAAATAAATTAAAATGCCTATTTTTAAAAAGCAGTAAGTGCATGACATTGCTTACTAAAATATTAAAAATATAGCATTGAAAATATTAAATATATTTAACATTGTAAGATATCTTAAAATGTGCTAAAATATACATAAAAATATATTTTCTAAAATAAAAAATTACTGAAGAGAGTGCATTTCTTTCAGTTTTGCAAATTTCATTAATTTCTGGCTTAACAAAAACAGCTAGACTTTCCCATCTGCTTCTTCATTGTCTAGTATAAAATCACATACCATGTAGCCTCTGAAAAATTCCATTGTCCTCTCATAAAAAGAGATGCCTTTATACACACACACACACACACACACACACACACACACACACACA